AAAAAAAAAAAAACTTAAATAAGTTCATCAAAACCGTACAATACGAATTTGTTTCAACAGCACTTAAACAATTTAACTGGTGGTAGAAAGGGACAGAAAAAAAAAGAAGCAATGTGAACAAAGCCTTTTTTTTTCTTCTTTATTTCCAATACGTCGTTTTGTTGGGTGGGAAATAAAAAAAACATACGATTATGATTATAGAAGAAACATAAAATAGTTTATAACAAAAGAAAAAAAAAAATGATCATCATTTTGCCCTATTTAGTTTGTTCAACAAGTTTAATTATTGCTCCATACAGTTCAACAATTATTTAATTAATGATTTATTTACTAATTTATTTATATTTTTAGGATCCCATCAATGATAAAATTTTGTGTATGGAGTAAAAAACGCCAACAAAATGGCATGTATTTAAACAATTTTTTTTTGTTTTTTTGAAGCAGGACGAGGAATTAGACGGGGAATTGAACGACAGGCAAATAGTAGGAATCATTATCAACGCCTGGTTCTGCTGTCGCTTCTGCAAACCTATGTTCAAAGCTACAACTTCATCAACGGTCTACTCCCATTTCGTTCTGTCTCTTCTCCCACTTTTTTCATCATATTTTTCACCAACAAAACAATCAAAACATTTCTTCAACAAAATTATACATTTCGATTAATATCTGAAAGGCAAAAAAAAAAAACTCTTTTCTATCAAAATAGCAAAAAAAAAGAGGAAACGCACAAGTTGTAGAATTGAGAGGAAGAAGGAAAAACCTAGGCTTTAATAAAATTTATTCTTCACATTTTTATTTCTTGTATATACACATAAATGTCTGTTTGCATGTGTGTAAATTTTTTTTTACATTTTTGACAAAAAAGCGACAAATCGTTTTGAAATCATCAACAAAAAATGAATCAAGCAAATTTTTTTTTTTTCCCTTTTATCAGGCAGATCTATTTATTTGTTTCTTTTTATAGAATGAACAAGCTTTTGCTTTTTCTTATGCAGAAACATTGATCTTTAGAGTACAACTGAACCTAAAAGTATAACCCTGAAAAATCTGCTGTTACATGGTCGTTTGAAAAAAAAAAAAAAAAAAGAATCTAAAATGTTCATCAACCAATTGACTAGCAAACCTCCAAGTAGTTTTTTGCCAGTTAAGCATCACTTGCCGCCCACCTTCACCGTTATCGTCGATTCTCACTTCTCGTCCCACCTGTATTAATCAGTTTTGCATAACAAATAACAGCTTTCCTTGGCATCATTTTCTCTATCTGTACT